AGCCTGGTTGGGGCGACTCCCCATAACCCCCACCAGGCCTGCTCCCTACCCTGGTTCCCATGCATGCCAGTATGTACCGCAGACTTGTTCAGTCTGTCCCACATCCCTTCTAGCTCTGGTACTTGTCAATGGGCATTAAAGCTTAGTTCAACCCAACCAACCTACCATCCAGCCCCCACACACATACTGGCAGGTGCCTTTCTGTCTAACCACCCCTGCCCCGTCCTGGTTTTCGTGCTTCCCAGTGGGAGTGGCAACCCCGAAGGAGGTGCCCACTATCTCCCTACTAGGCCACTTCAACTTCTGGATTGTGCACTCTCCAGGTGGTTCTGGCATTTAACTTAACAGAATTAATCCCCAGTGCCAGTCTCTTCCATCTGATGATGTAGCAAAGCCCAACCAACCCTCACCCACTCTAATTTTTGCTTGCACCAATCGGAACAGTCAGCCCAATCTGGCCCTTCCCCATTCTAGCTCACATGAGACCCTCAGGTGTTGTAGCCCTACCTGGTCTGGTCTGTCCCCATTCCAACTCATGCTCTCCAGTGGGAGTGGGTGTCCAGCAGGGGAGCCCACATTCCCCTTCTGGCTTTGCCTGCCTCCCCCCACCCCCACGTGTGCTGTTTTGGGCGCTGCAACCACATCTGGTACGGCTCACCTCAACTTGGCATTCCTTAATGTGCATTGGTATGTGATGTGACTAAAACTGGCCTGACCCACACTCTATGGTGGTGCTTGGATTCGCCAGCAGTTGATGTGACCAAGTTCAGCCTGGTCTACCCCCCACCTATGCCATATGTATGATAGCGGATATCTTCCTCTCGCCTGGTCTGGGTTGCTCCATATCATGGTTCTTGTGCTCACCTGAAGGGGCTGTGTTCTGATAGAGGAATTTCCCAAGCTCCTCCTTCAGAACCTCTCCCTATGCCAGATCTTGCACTTACTGGTGGTTCCATGGGCCAGCCCTCATTGCTGGCCTTCAATCTATACCAGTTCTTGGTGTTGGCTGTTTCATCCCAGCCAAGGCTTGTCCATACCCAGACACTGCTCACACATGGCTCAGTAGGGGCAGAGCCCCAGCCTAGTCCGTCCTACATCTACCCAGGTTCTCCAGAGTGCCAGAAGGTGAAGCCTTCTACCCTAGCTTGCTGTGCTCAGCCCCAGTCCACAATTGTGCCTAGGGAGATTGCAGCCAAATCCGGACCAGAACGCAGCCCCCACTCCAGCCCCTGCACCAACCAGTGGGAATCCCAACCCAACAAGGGTGCTCTTTTACAGCTCCCCAACCGAGTCTATTCCCAGCCATAGGTTGCACGTGTGCCAGTGTGTGCTCTGACCCAGTTAGCTTAGCCCCTCACCTGTTTCAACCTTTGCCTTCGATGCTGTGGCATAGTATCCCTGCCTCATGCAGACCAGTTGGTGTAAGAGCCTAGATCAGAATGACATGTGCTCCATCCTGATTTCTATTCTTTTTTTGTGAGTTGAAGTTTGCTCGGTCCTGCCCGGTCCGGCCCCTTCCAGTTGCAGCTTGGCCCAACCCACATCCTATTTTAGGATGCACCTTTCGGTGCTGCTGCCTTGACCTGCCCAGACTGCCATCAGTTCCTTTACCCCTAAGTGATTGCAGGGACCATGGTCACTCCTAGCTTAGCCCATCACCACCCCAGCTCGAGAGCTAACTTGCGGGACTTGTATTTCCACAGAGTTGGGCCCACACTTTCTCCACAGAGTTTAACCCCGGACCAAGTTCTCTCACATGCTAGTTAGTGTCTTGACCCCGCCAAATGTGACCAGTCCACTATTCCACCACCCAGTCAAGTAATGGTACCTAGCCCTGCCAAACAGGCCCCTATCCATAGCTTTGGTATGGACCGCGGTGTGGTAGTCTGTGATGCTCTATGCTAACAGCCCATGTCAGGATTCCTAATTTGACTGTGAATCAGTCTGGCCCAAATAAATCTTATGGACACTCCCCTCCAAACCTTCAGGTCTCAGTCCCCACATTTGCCTGAAAGTTACATGACCCTGCTACTGGGAATCACCCAGATTTCATCTCTCACCTACACTAAAGCTGGTCTTATTCATGGGTATCCCTAAACATCAATTTTATATCCTAAAAACCTCAGAGCTCGCTGTTGGTCAGCCAGCAGGCAGAGCCTGGCACCATTCAGTGCACTGGCCGCCCAAAGCCAAGGACTCAGTTACTGCCTTTCGGCAGTGGCTTTGACCTGAGTCCCCAGCCTTGGATCCAGCCTGGCAGGGGCACCCCTCACAGCCGCCACACTGTGGGGAGCTGCAAGCCTCCCCCTACCCCAAGGCCTGGCCCCTCCCTCCAAAACCTGGCGGCAGGGCGGAGCTAGGACTTTAAAACCAAATTTTGAAACTGAGGCTCAGTAAGTAATTTATGTACACAGGAACAAATACAAGTTGGTGGATTTTACTTTAGAACATCTGAGCTTAAAGTACAGGCACTATTATAAAAAAACCCACCTACTGCCCACTTTCAGACCTTGCTTTGGATGGTGGGTGTGCCACCCAGAACGATCCCAGTGAGGCCAGATAGAGCTACAATTGCCTCTCCAAATAAATTGGAGATGTTGTTATAGAATCCCCAAACCTGGTTTTGCTTGTTCATTGCATAGAAAGCCAATCATTGACTTCAGGGTGATGGAAGAAATTAGGCAAATTATTGCAAAATCCGGAGCAAGGAGCTGGGCAGTTGTTGCTTAATTCTGGATCCCCGAGGAATACAGGGTGAAGGTCCTTATAGATTGAAATTGGGGCTGAGAGGTGCATTTTCAACTTGTGTCCAAGTTCCTAGCTGGCCAGTTGGTGCTTGTGCCAACCAGGTGGATTTCAGTTGATCTGGCAAAGCTACATGTAAGAAATGACTACCTTCTGCGCAGATTGGAATTCCCTAAACAAAACCCTCTGGACAGTATTGGTTAGTGAGATTTTATCCATCAGAAAAACAAATGACAATTCTTGAGTCCAGAGAGAAGAACCTAGTAGGTCCAGCTGTAAAACTGTCTCAACTTAGTGAGTTTCTTTTGACAAAGGACAGACAAGGGCACCTTGGGATAAGAGAAACACACAAGAGGTTGAGTCCTGCCTTTACATTCAGTGTCCTGTCTCATTACGTTGAATGTAGCACTTCTGGGGGGGAAAAAAAACCAAACTTTTAGGAGAAGAGATAAAACACAAAGTGAGAAAGGACTGTCCTGAGCCCCCCAGGAAGCCATGTGCAGGCCCTGAAAAAATGGCCATAGGTTTCCAGTGTGGGCCAGACCTATCTCAGGTGCATGGCAACCCCTTCCAGGCCTCACAGCTTTCTTGCTCATCTGTTCCTACTTCCCCTAGCTGTGCCAGGTGAGGCTCAGACCGGGAGAAGCAACACAAGTTATTTCAGTCCCAGTGCTGTCACTGACTTTCTACAACACTTTGGGAAGCACTTTCAGCTCCCTGGGCCTGACTGTATCTGCTGGAAAATGGAAGTGCCATGGGCATCCTTCTCACACAAGTTTTGGCTCCTATAAACTTTTGGGCTATGGGATGACTGATGCCTATTGGCTGCGTGTTTTCTTCTATTTCTGCAGCGCTCCTAAACCAAAGAAAAAGCAAAAACAAACAATCCCCATCTTCATCTTCTGATGACTGTGGAACACCCAGGGGAGAGGGAATGCACGGAGGATGGCTCCGGAGCCCACATGAAGCCACAGCTCTGAGTCTGCCTGGGGAGGAGGGCAAACCCAGGCCTGCACCGAGCCCTGTGAACATGAGAGCCTGTAAGTCCCAGAGAAATAAACAAGCTTCAGAGTGAGAGGGGAGCCAGCGGAAGTCAGCAAGCTCAGAGGAACTTGAGAGATGGTGTTTGGATCTTTAACGCACCATGTTAATTCATCTGGGCTATCAGAGCCCAAATCTAAAGATTCAAATATCTGCCTTAGCATTTTTTTTTTTAATCTGGAATCTTCCACTACCCCCATTACTGTCCTTCCTTCTGAGGATGTGGGAGCCTATCTGTAATTTACTTTGCTCTCACTTTGACCTCTTCTCCAAAATCCTGAGCCTGGAAGGGTACTGCATGGAGCGCCTCTCTGACATCATTAGCATGCCCTGGACAGGGCCCCCAGGCAGACTCTGCCACGCTCAGGAGCTAGGCCTGTGGGAGCAGATGGCAGGTGTCCATTTCAGTTAAACTCATGCACGCACATGTAACTTACGGGCTGCAGAGAAGACAGATCAGAGGCAATCCATCCAGCTCCAGCCCAGCTGGCTGTGACCTTAGAGGAGAGAGGCTGCACAGAACATTGGAGCACTCAGATAAGGACACCCACGCAATCAGCTGATAAGGGAAGCCATATCTGCTCACTAATCAGCAGATGAGATCTCGCTAATGTCCCAGCTGCTGGGTGTGGGGAACCCTGAGGAAGCAGGACAGAAAGATGTGAGAATGGAACGAACACTAGCTTACACAAATTTAGTCACTGAAGGATGGGGTGGTGTCATGTCAAAGACATAAATTAAATTTAACTCTTGGTGTTATATGAAGAAAAACACCAGGATTTTCTGATTCTATACAAATTTCTTCTCGGGCCTGGCGTCATGGCCTAGCAGCTAAAGTGCTTACCTTGAACGCTCCAGGATCCCATATGGGCACTGGTGCTAATCCCAGCAGCTCCACTTCCCATCCAGCTCCCTGCTTGTGGCCTGGGAAAGCAGTCGAGGACGGCCTAAGGCCTTGGGACCCTGCATCCGCATGGGAGACCTGGAAGAGGTTCCTGGCTCCTGGCTTCGGATCAGCATAGCACTGGCCGTTGCGGTCACTTGGGGAGTGAATCATGAGACGAAAGATCTTCCTGTCTATCTCTCCTCCTCTCTGTATATCTGACTTTGTAATAAAAATAAATCAATCTTACAAAGAAAGAAATTTCTGTGTACACAGCTGAAACCAACCAAGCCAGGCAAGCTGTCTTCCTACCTCCTTTTTGTCCCCTTAGGTTTGCGGGCCAGTTCCTTCTACTATCTGTGATACGCTATGGGGAACAGTCACCCCTCTGCACTGTGCAAGCGTTACTACTTCCGACTGATTGTGTGCCAGTTCCTGTTCTCCAGCCCCTCCCTGTCTCGCCCACCTCCAGCTCCCATTCAGCAGTTACCACTACTCTAAGATTAGATGAAACTTTTTTTTTTTAACTTCCACACGTGAGAGAGGATGCTCTTTGTCTTTGTTTGGCTTCTTTCCAAAGTTCCATCAACGTAGCTGCAAAGATCAAGAATCCATTATTTTTTATGGCTGAATAATATTCTGTGGTATCTAGCTACCTACACATCTTATCCACTTTTTATCCCTTCATCTGTCAACAGACACTTAAGTTGATTTTCTATCTTGACTATTGTGAGTATTGCTGTGATAAATGTGCAGTGTGTGTTTCTCCTTCCTATGCTTATTCAGTTTCCTTTGTGGTTTCTATTTAAACCTTCCTAATGGCGGATGATACTGGGTATTTTCTGCATTCATTTGTTAGCCATTTGTAATTATTCGTTTGAGAATTGCTCAGATCCTTTGTCCACTTCATAACTTGATTGTTTCATTGTTGCTGAGTTTTTTTAGTACCATATGTATTCCTAATATTAATCCTCTGTCAAATGAAATATTTGCAAGCATTTTCTCCATTGTGTCAAATATCCAGTCACTCTGATGTTTCCTTTGCTGTCTGGAAAGCTCTTACTTTGATACAATCCCGTATTTCAGTTTTGTTAACTTTGCTTTTGGGGTTCTATCAAAAAAACCTATGGCCTAAAGTGATGTCTTCAAAGTATTTTCCCCATTTTCTGCTAATAATTTTAGTTTAGGGTCTTCCTTTGGAGCTCAATCCATTTTGAATTGATTTTATAGAGACACAGGGGCTCCTGATTCAATCTTCTGCATATACTATCCAGTTTTCTCAGTGTAAATTAGACTGTTCTTTCTCCAGTATAGAATGTTGATGCCTTCAACAAATATCCGTTGGCTTTCCAAGTGCGGATTCATTTCTGGAATCTCTATTCTGTTCCATTGTTCTGTGTGTCTTTGTCAGTGCCATGTTACTTGGCCACAATAGCTTGGTAGTAAGTTCTGAAACCAGCTATTATAGAGGCTGCAGCTTTGATCTTTTTGTTTGGGGTTGCTTTGGCCCCTTTGAGGATATTTGTGCTTAGTGCTATGCTTTTAAAACCACAGAAGGTCATCAGTTTGGCCAGTTTTTTTCCAGAATGAGGATGCATGAGGATGAAAAGCATTCTAAAAGGTTGACTATGAGTCATTAATTAAACCCCCAAAGTGCCTTCAGAGAAGACTGAAAGCCTTTACCCTGAAACACTGTGTCCAGGGCAGGTTTCCTCTGAAAGACTTCTCACACTTTGTCATTTTACTCTGAATGACTTAATTCCTCAGGTCCTAGGCTTGGTCTTTGTCTTTTCTTGTTCTATGGCCTCCTTGTAAGTGGTCTTACTCACACAATGACTTCAAGTGGTTATCTCCAGTGGGGATTTTTCTCCAAAGGGCTGCATCCACATGTTCTACTGTGAGCATTTCGGCTTGAGAATCCTAGAGGCCCTTACAACTAAACACAGTGGATTCCCTTTCCTATTCAATACTTTTATTTCAGACTAGTCATGAAAGAAGGGAGGGACGGAGAGAAAGAGAGGTGAAAACAGAAAGAAGAAAGGAAGGGGTGAGGATGGGGGAAGAGGGAAAAGGAAACAGAGAGAGGAAGGAAGACTTGAAGGAAGCTGGGATGCCCTCAACGGATGTCTCCTCTCAGCCTTCTTTCTAAAGTGCTTTCTAACTGGCTGGACCCAGTTCTGGGACCGAGAAGGCCTCCTGACATCTGGTTGGGATCTCCGAAGAGCAGCAACACTGATCACTGGGGAATGACACAGGGCAGGCGGAGGGCCTGGATGGGAAGCTGACCTTCACTGCAGAGCACTCATCCCAGTGTGTGGGTGTGTGTTTGTCATGTGTGATGTCCAGCTTTGCAGCATCAGCTCCATGAGACAGGGACAATTTCATGTTCATGCAACACAAAGGCACCCACAGAGAAGGCAGTCAGTAACATTTGCACCATAGTAGCCACAACACAGAAAGGATCTAGAAATTAATGGAGCCAAGAATACAATGGACCTCTGTACAGAAGAATATAACACTACTGCAGCACACAGAAGATGATGTGATTAAGTAGACAGACATTCCTGCTTGCGAAAAGGCCGATTTAATATTAAAAACACATCCCTTCTTTGAAATCAATATAAATATTTAAGACAAAGTCAATCAAAATTCCAGTGATTTTTTTTTAAGAACTCAATACACTTCACTAAAACATACATGGAGGAATGCAAATATAACCAAAACAAAAATTTTTAACTTTAGAAAAGAATGGGAGAACTCGTCCTTCCAGACATTGTCGTGTCACAAAACCATGGTAACATAGTAACTCTGGCACGAGAACAGACAGATGCCACTGTTACAAAACAGATGGGGAAAGGCACACGCCTTCACATTCTCATATGGGTTGGACACTTTCTATTTGCTCCTCCAGCTCAGGGCTCAACCCTTCTCTGCTCTTTCTCGCAGATTGGCCGCCTTGCTTGCACTGACCACACACTCACTTGCCTCGTGATATCACACTGAGTTGGCCAGTGAGTCAGTGGAGGGATGTCAGAGGGCAAGGGAGACAGGGGGTAATGACGCCTCAGATTTCCCACTGCAAGACTGCAGCAAGACCCAGTTTGTGGATCAAAAGAGCAACCACAGCTTCTCCAGGTCCTGAGAGCTCCATGCCTCCCCTCCCCTTGCTTGGCTGACCAGGGGGGAAAGGAGAGCAGAATTTCTACAGATGACACCACCTTTCCTTGTTAATTTTCTAACATCACCGGCTTTCCTCAATTACTCCATTTTGGCTGCGTTCTGGTTCCTGAAGGACCCCCACACAGATGCACTAGAATCATAATCTAGCATACAACAGAAGGGATGTGACAATTCACAACAGACTGACTGCCAATATGTAACAATGGGAAAACCAGCTTCTTAAGGGTAGAGGGGAAATGGATCCTTACTTGATATCACATACAAAGATGATAACACAAATCTGCAGAAAGTAGGGATGGCAGTGAGCCTCGAGGCACAGTGAGCTGCTTGGGGTGCCCAGATCCCATATCAAAATGCTTGGGGTTCAGTCCTGACTCTGCTTCTCACCCAACTTCCTGCTCAATTGCCTGGGAGGTAACAGGTGATGGCCAATGGTTGGGTTCCTGCCATCTGGGAACTCCATCTGAATCAGACCCTGATTTCAATCCAGCCTAGTCCCAGCTGTTGCAGGCATTTAGGGAGTGAACCAGTGGATTGAAGCTCTCCTTCTGCCTGCATCCATCTCTTTCTAGCCACTCTGTCTTTCAAATGAATAAATAAAGTAGGAATGGACTTATTACTATCAGACTAAATAAATTTCAGAGCAAGAAATATTATCATAAATTGAAAAAGATTTTTTCATAATGATAAATTTGATCAACTAATCAGAAAAATCACAACCAAACTGTATGTGCCTTAAAATAGAGCTACTAAATACAGGCAGAAAAAATGACAGGAGGAAAAGAAAAAGCTGACAATCAAAATTATACCTGAAGACTTCAACAGTCCTCTTTCAATTGCTGATAGAAATAATGGAGAAAAGGAAATCAGTAAAAGTGAAAAGGACAGAGGAACACTATGTTAAAATATCCAACAGATTATTTATTAAGATAATCTTAGTTTGTAACACAAGGTTTAATCAATTTGAAAGGAATGAAATCACACAACATATGTTCTCTGGCTGCAAGAGACTTAAATTAGAAAGCAGTAACAGAAAGATATCTGGAAAATACCCAATAGTTTGGAATCAAATAGCATAGTTCTCAGGAACCCATGGGTCAACAAAGACATCACAACTGAAACGAAAATAAACTTTGAAGTAAATGAAGATGAAAACACAGCATACCAAAATTTTTGCAATGCAGATAAAATAAAAATATACAGAATTCCCAGCATATATCAGACATAAAGAAGGGTTTAAAATGAATGGCCTAAGTTTTTATCTTAAGAAATGAGAATAAGAAAAGAGAAAACCAAAACCAGTGTCAGCAGGAAATTTTCCAGGAAATGGAAAATAGGGAAATAATGGAGAATAACAAAACTGGAAGCTGAATTTTCCGACAAAATTAGATAAATTGATAAATCCCTAAGTGGAAAGGCTCCAATTATTGGTAACAAGACCAAGGGCAAGAAGGGAACCACAGAGCCATCTGGTCATCTCCGGACACGGAGAAAAGGCAAGGTTGTAGGAAACAAGAACAATATACAACCATCAATTCTATTCCACGTACTCATTAGCAATGGCCATACACTGAATATTTTTTAGAGATACTTTTGAACATGGGAAGGAGGGGAGGAGAGAGAAAAAGAGAGGGAGGGTGAGAACAAGAATGGGAGTGAGAGCAAGAGAGACAGAAGAGCAAGAGACTAACAGAGACCATGAGCTCCTACTACCGCTGGTTCCTGCCAGGTCTGGGGTGTGCCTGGAACCAGGAACTGAGAGTTCAAGCCAAGTCTTCCACATGGGTAGCAAGACCCATGTTGTTTGAGCCATCACTGTTACCTTCCATGGTCTGCATTAGCAAGACACTGGAGGCAGGAGCCAGAGCTGGGAATCAAACACGTGCATTCTAATGTGGGACACGGCTTCTCCTGCTCCGAAAGATATTTACACTAATATGAAAAATCATGACATATTTCAGGACGTCTTTTATAGGGGATGTACAGATATGTACATGGCAATATGTTGGAGAAGTAAAAGACACTCTTAGGAGAGAGAAATCATGCCAGTGGATTGTAAGACTCAATATCACTAAGACATAAATTCTCCACGTTTGACTCAGGGATTTATTATAACTTCAATCAAATTTGAAATTTTTGCAGATTTCCTGCAGAAATCGCCAAGTTGGTTCTATAATCTGGAG